GGCTGGTCTTTGTTCGGTCCTGATCGGGAAGGGGTCCGGGAGAAGATGCGGCTGCTTGGAGGTCAAGTTCTTCCTGCCTTTGTCTTTGTCTCATTGTCGCGAGTTTTTGTTCTTTGCGTCTCTCGCGGCAATATCGGACTGAAGATCCGGAGTAGCGTTTTGTGTGCGGAGGGTCTCTCCGGCTCTCCCTAGGCTTAAGTCCCAAAGGTAAAGTTTTGCGAAGTGCAGTGAAAGTGAAAATTCCTCACATAGGGGCTATTCTTTTTAACATTGTGAAGTATTTTATACGAAATGCTTGAAATTTGTTTCCCCATTCCATGTACCACACTACAGGCATGTGAGTTTTATGAATGAAATCAACACTGAAAAGTTTGCACATGTAACTTTCACTTACGATCTCTTCTTTCTGTTTCATTTTAGTTTTTCTGGCTCTCCCTCAATGTATGGTTCTTCTGGAAAACCTTCCTGCTCTACTTTCAAGGGCTGCAGTACTATTATTTGCATCAGATGTTAGGGGTGAGTGACCCGGACGTTACTTTTTGCCCTGGAAATTGGGATGCTGGGAGATGGGAAAGAAGCAAAATGCAATTGCTAATCAAGGATGACACAGACTGCTCGTTAACTCTGCCGAGTGGGGAAACATTAAGTAGGACATTACTGGGATACTGTTGATAGTTGTTTAGGAATAGAACGTGAACAGTGTTGAGAAGAAGAGCCAGTCAAGTGTGGGACAGTTATCCTTCCCCCTCCTCTCCCCCCTCCCGGTGTTCCCAGCTGCAGACAGGCTTACAGGAACATAAACATGCTCAACATATCACTGAAGCTCGACTTTTTTCTATCAAAACTTTAGCCAAGTTTATGGGCTCGTGCTAGCAAATTCTAATTCAATTGTTGTGATACACACTTGCTGAAGGAATTCTTTTGGTAAGTCTTAGTTCTTTTCAGTCTTTCTCATCCTCATAGATTTTCCATTCTGTGTAAATCACTGTAATTTATGTCATTTTGGTTTCATTTTCTAATAGCAAATTCCTGGTATCTGAATAGTTTGAAGAAGATCTGCCTATTTTGATTTAGCAAGGGTAACATCCACCACCACCAGAAGAACCCAAAAAGATAATCTGGGGAAGTGAGATACCAGTCTGCCTTGTGACATTATCCACAGCTATGCCATTAGGGTTGTTTGGAATGACTTGTATCAAGAGGGAGAGATTAAGGGTTAACAGCTTTCTGGAAAATGCTCAAGGGTTACTCAGAATTTGAGAGTTCAGGAAAAAAGTGGATGAATAACATGATGCTTTGTTACACTATGTCATACTGAGGAGTAGATTTCAGTGAAAAGTTGACATGAGGTTAAAGCACAGATGATGCATATCCTAACCTGATGTAGAGCTTCTGGGTTTTATCTTTGGAGATCCAGGATGTATTTTTCCATATGGTTGATATCATGGCCATAGCTATCCAGTTCCATAACCTTTTGTGAACTTGCTTGAAAGTAAGTTGACATGATACACTTTTCTCTTTTTTTTTTCTTTTCCTTTTCTTCTTATGACTGACTCAGATGTGTTGAAGAAATGAATCATAGCATAGGTAGTGCAAAAAGAAGGGAATGAAAATACTTAAATCCTTCATGATGATGACTTTCTTGACAGAAAAGGCATGAAAAAGTGTTTAAATTTACCATAAGCTCTAATGGCTTTGCAGCCCAGTGCATTCATTTGAAAATGTGCTTGTTCCTGGCAGAGCAAGTGGATTCTTTATAAAGCAAATGTTCTTGGGTCAACATACTGGGCCAGTTTGTCAGCTGGTATCAATCAGCAATGTTCCCCTCAGTACCAAAGACTCATCTGCCTTGTACCAGCTCATTGTCTGGTCTTTTATTGATTTTCTTATACTTCAAAATGAAAGATACATACAAAGTAACATAATGTGTGCTCAGAACCTGTGAGATGATTCAAGCAGCAGATTCCTTGTCTTGGTCAAGAGGTGAGGACAAGGAGGCCACGTGTTTGAGTTTGTCTAACTGTGTCTGCAGCTGTGGGAAAAGGTACCAAAGAAGTTTAAAGGCTTTCTAAATGAGGAGGAAAGTGAATAGCTAAGCCTAAAAGATACTTTTGGTATCTTCTTCTATATTATGAAACTAATTTAAAATTTTTGAAAATATTGAAGACTGTAAAACATTCTTGCAATTCCCTTTTTACACTTTGTCTAAGACCATCCTTAGACCCCCAAATTACTTTTCTCCTTTTTTTTCAATATATTTGTATATGCATATAAATTACACACATTATTTTTGAAGGATAGGGAAAACTTAACCCAATTTTGGTCTCTTTAGGAAATGGAGTAAGCATACCCATGCTAGAGCTGCTGTTACCATCCATGGAAATTTGTGTTCCTCTTCTTTTTCTATGGGCCTGTGGCCCATCTGTATGACCAGTCTCCTCTCTCTTGCATACATGGGTGCATGGCTTGCAGTGCCTTTGTGTAATTTCTTGATGTTTGAAAAAGTTGAGATTTAGATGTAAATTCTTCATTTAAAATTCAAAAGTTGATTTTTTTTTTTGCTTGTCTTAACAGAATGAACTTTTTTACAGATACTGTTGTGAACATGAATTCCCTTTTCCATCCTTTTAGCAAAAAATGGCAAAAAAGAATGCCATTTTTTCAACAAAAAAAAAAGTTTCTCTTGTTTTCAGTGAGGTCTGCTAAGGATTTTTTTCTCTCTTTGTATGCTATGATAGCCTGAAATGTCCCTAACTTCTGTGTTTGCAGCACTGAAAGACTCACCACAAGTAATTTTATTTTTTTAGCAAGTAACAGGTTGAAGAGCAAGAAGAGTTGCTTTAGGAAATCAGATTGTGATATAAAATAAGATCTTGGACTGAATATCCTGAATATATTCAACTCTGCCATGTTTTCATGATGTGTCTTTCCTTTCTGATGTGAAGAATGAGAAACAATGTGATTAGTCTTTCATTCAGTGGTCACTGAAGTGGTTCACTTTCCTTCAGCCTTCTACAAAAAAGGAGGCTCAGTTTTATTCTTTTCTGGTTGCATCCTCTGAAACCTTAAAGAAGATACTTAGAACAGGATTTTAAAATTATTTAGGTATCTAACACACACCAATCTTTCAATGACAATCTTTCTGATCCTTAATTCCATACCTATAAAAGAAGGTGCTAAGAGCACAATAGTGTCTTGGGAGTGCAAAGAAACTAAGTAGGTCAAAGGCACTGATGAGCTAGGAGGATGCTAATCAGCTTATTCTAGGCTACAAAATTTTGTGGGTGAATTTATGTTGCGTCAAATACCATTGCTTGGCTCAGTTTGAATCCTGTTGATGTGACCATAAACTCTTCTCTGTGGAATCTCTGTCCCTAGAGATTTTTAAAAAATAAGTGGACAAAACCCTGAGCAATCTTAGTTTGATGCTGAATCTGATTAGAACAGGAGGTTGGAATAGAGACATCCTGAGGTCCCTTCCAACCAGAATAATTCTGTGATTATAGGATTCTTCTGGTGTTAGTTCAACCAGAATCTAGGTTTATAAACCCCTTCTCAGTACTTTTCCCTTGGTGAACCATCCCCTTGGATACTTAATTGCTTATAACACTGCATATCATTCTTACTGCATGAATACATTCATTGCCACTGTTTTCAGGAACATGATTCAGATAAAGAATATAAGTTTTTTGTAATTTAATAAACGTTAATTTGTGGCCTTACATTGCTTAAAGAAGAGAAGCGTGGGAAAAAGACAACAGTTATGGGATGGGTTTCTTATAAAAGGATGGGGCAAAGAGGAAAGGGATATTCTCATCTTCATGTTCATGGTAGATACTACAAGATGTAGTAGGCATGAATTACAGAAAGGAAGATTCCTGAATTACTTGATGTGACTCCAAAATCTTCATTGTTGGAGGTTTTGTGTCTGCTCAGCCAGAGAAATTGTCCAGATGATTAATTTCTTTGCAGACTTCAAGATTTTTCTCTTCAGATTAGCTTGGCTGTGTTTTTTTCCAACAAGTTTGCTTGTGTCTGAGCAAAAATTCAGTGCTAAATCAGTACTGGCCTTATTATAGTACTCAAATCTTGCTTTTAACAGCATTAAATAAAATACCTGTTTCTTGTTCTTTGGGTTCCTTATGAACAGAAAGAGCTTTGGGCTCATTCTGTCATGGCATGAAAGGTCT